TGTTTTTGTTTTACCATAATCCGTGAGCTGTTTGTACAACCAATTGTCCTTTTCTGGCAGAGAAGCAATCATAAAGGACATTAGCATTAATTCATAAAGTTACCACTTTTAGGAACTATTTTTCTGTGCTTCTTATCTGTTCCTTCTGAATTTAATCACTTTTTTTTTTTTTTCCTCATCTGTCAGTTTTTCTGATCTGGGATACATGAAACGACCAAACGAATTCATTTGGTAAGGTCAGCTTACCACCTGCTGAAGGACCCAAATATTGAGTATGCTTCCAGTCAACACCATCCAACATATTAATATAGATTCTCAAATTCACCTTTTTAGGCTAACTTTTATGCTCCGTATATAAACCTACAACTCTTAGAGTATCAGAAGTTGGTACTGGGATCTGTTGCTCAACCAGAATTGTAATGGACTGTAAGAAGGATTTAATTTCTTGTAGTCATACCAAGTTACTTTTAAGCTGTGTATCAGCACTTGAGATTTATTTTAAATCCTTAACTAATTAAAAGATTACATTTAAAAAAAAAAAAAAAGAGGATTATGGCAGAGTGAAAACCCACCCGTTTGGCACTGAAGTTGCAAGCTTCATGGCATGCTTAACTTGCAGCAGAAGAGTATATTTTTAAAAGAATTGTCTTTAAAACTTTGAATTCAGGGATCTCACAGGTTGGGCTTTTTTGTGCCATACTCCAGTGTTACTGGTCCAGAACCTGTGCCTTGGCCCTCCGACTGGGGAGCTTGTATCCGAAGGCTGTTCTCCATATAAACCCTTTGATCATAGTGCTGTCAGTACGTACTTCACAATACTGGGGTATTTGCAGATGTTGCCTAGCACGCTTAAGGCACTTCTGCCTTCCTGCTGCCGGCAAGGCTGAGAACCAGAATTGACTCCAAAGCCACACAGTGAATCATCAGGTCTTCAGCAGAGCTGGCGGTAGGATTCGAGAGCTGCTTACTCTGACTGTATGTGTGCAGTTTGATACAGTATCGGACTGTCTTATTTTTTCTTGAGACACTTCACAAGAGCAGCTCTGCAAAATGGGTGTTTTGATATGAGAATTCCCTTTTGGCTAAGCCAGGCAACCCCCCCCCCCAAATATATTTTAAAGCACTTTTCTGCTTAGCTAATCCCACGTTATGCACAATAATAGATCTCTCCCATTCTGGAAATGGGAACACCTCTGGGAAGAGGAAGTCTGTGATGTAGTCTGTACTGACAACGTTTGCAAAACTGGTTTAGAGGGGTAATCAAATAACACATCCAACACAAGATCTTATCTGAAAATTGCCCGTTTCTCACCCTGCTGGGTGATTCAGTTTGGGCTCATTACTGCCGCGGGAGTGCTGGTAACAGAGGTGGTGTTATGGCAGCTCTGAGTTTTCTTTTGAAGGTTCTTGGCCAGCAATACCAGTGCTGCTGCTTGCTTTGCCTCTGAGAGCTGGCTCGGGGGAGAGGTGTTCTGGGTCACACTCCAAAGCAGTGACATGAGTTATTGCCCTGTGACAGCCCTGGCGATCCCATTTGAAGGGTAACACTTTCTAATAAAAAATGTTTTTTAAAGTGGAGCAGATGAATTGCATTTGGAAGCATTGCTCAGGAGAGCTCTTCCTTTTTCTTAAGGGTTTAGGAAAGCACCGAGGCTGCTTCTGTGCTGTAAAGACAGGCTTTTTTTTGTTTCTGACCACAATTCAGTAGAGTCTCTGAAAGTGGTTTGACTTCTTTTAGCTGAACTACAGTTTTGAGCAGCACTGCAGCATTCTGTCCATTTACGCTGTCTTGATTATTTTCATTTATGCTGTTTTGACGTTATTCTTTGCGGACTTTAGTGAGTAGCTAAGTTGATCTAATGTAGTAGAGGCACGGCAATAGCATTGCCCCGGTGTAAAAGCTGACACCTTGAGCTGCGGACATTGCTGGGCCCGTGCACCTCCTCTTGCGTCGTCTTCCTCTGCCAGACTAGGAGGAACTGCTGCGTTTGTAGGCAGTGTGGCATGCGGTTTCCGTACTTGTGCTGTGCTTGCTTGCACGCTATAAATTTTTGTGAATAGGTATGCCTTAGGTTGCTTGAACTTAATGTCTGCATCTCCTTCATTGCTTCTACATTTCTCCTTTTCCCTTTTCTTACTCTTTGTTCCCTTGTTTGTTTGTTTGTTTTTTAATCTCACAATCCACATCCAGGCAGGAAAGGTGTTTGCTTCCTAAACGATAGCTATAAGTTGCTGTTCACCTGTAACATGGCGCAAAGATATTTCTGTTCAATTTGGTTTAACTTCTCCTTTGTGCATGTGCTATTTCATGTTGATTCAGATGGCTCTGGCCTCAAATGCCTGGTGTTCTTGTCAAAATAGCCATGCCTGTTTGTGGATATCAAGCTCCTCAGCTTAGTGACAAGGCTGAGTTTTACTGCAGCTTGGCGCTTCTCAGAATTGCCAAGGCTAGGGATGAGGCAGTGGGTTTCCTCCGCCGCGTGCACCGGAAAGACTGTTGCTTTTGTTAGCTCCGCTTGCAGGCCCCGGCAGTTCCCTCTTGCAGCCGCAACGAAGGCTGCCTTCGGTCTCCGGGTTGGCAGGTTGCTGCTGAGGCTAATTTGAGAGAGGTGAGCAGAAGACGGCCTGCTCCAGGGACAGCGATAGCCAAAAGAGGAAAGAGACTGTTTCCCGGCTGAGTGCTCCGGTCTGCAGTACGGCAGCACGGAGGAAAACCCCTCGGTTGGAAGCAGCGCCGTCGACCCTTCAGGCAGTGATGGGCAGCTCATGTGGAGCCTCCGTCATGCCGTTTTCCGTGCTGCCCTCGGAGTGCTGCAGTTTATTGAGCTAATGGAAGAACAAGATAGCTGCTTTAAAAAATGAGCTCCATTTTAGCTGATCAAAAAGCATGCAATGCAGTTGCCTGGTCCCTGTGGTCAGATGGCTGTCACAGTCAGTTGACTGTACTTGTGCTGTTAAGGTTTATCTTGATCAAAACTGAGAAATGAAATTTGTGCTCTAATTTGTTCAAATTAATTTCCTCCCCCCCCATAACAAATTACTGTAAGAACTCTAAACTAAACTGACAAGCACTTGTGCAGCCTGCACATAATTACTGTAGACTCTTCTTAAAGATTACTCTAAGCCCCGCCTGGGAACAGGGCAGGTATTCACTGACACGTTGCAATATTAGTCATATTTTCTCTTTTGATTTAGCTCTATATTTGTGTTTAGTCTGTAATGTGACTTCTGAAATACACATGTACTCTGCATGTTTTGGTTTTTTAATTTGATCAAATTAAAACGGGTGAACTATACATGTTAGTTGGGCGTATTAACTTTTTAAATCCTACTGCACATTATGGCATCCAAGAAGGATTAGATAGGCTTTAATTTTGGAATATCTTTTTTATAGCTTTTTGTTTACAACACTTTTAACGATTTCAGAAGGTTGTGAACCATTGAGAGAATACATCACTCTTCTACAGCTGTATACATTTGATCGTTTAAGTAATGGCTGTTGCTTGTTTTTGTAAGTTAAGTCCGAGTCTGTTTGGATGTATATCTTGTTTTCCCTCTAGTAGAGGTCTTGAGGTCAGTAGTCTTCAAAAGCCAGTGTCCAGCATTATTCTGATCCTTTGTATGTAGGGACACTTTGAATAGGAATAGCCTTCTGCGTGGCAATCGGTAGGAGGCATACATTAGGGGACAGAAATCCCAAGGCTGGGGAGCGTTATCAGCAAATGGCAGAGCTAGAATGCCAGCCTTTTCTCCTGCACGTTTGAAAACAAAAGAAGAAGAATCTATCCCAGAACTTTCCCTCCCTGTCCCCTTCTCCCTTCACCTATGGTTTACCGATCCTGTATAAAGGTCATCACGTCATTCCCTGGAAACAAAGTCCCTTCGAACAGGGTAGCACTTTCTAGCACTGGAACTACAGGACTCCCCGGCTCGCTCTGATTTTACTGACGTATTTTCCCATTATTTAAAACGTTTCCCTTGTTCCTGTGTGCGAGGCTTGAACGAGAGCTGATGATGATTAGCTAGAGAGTGAATGTGTGTCTCCTCTCCCGTGGAGGAAGCTCAGGTGTTGCATGCTTCACTAGTTGTGTGTGTATGTGTATGTGGGGGGGGGACGCCAGGATATTAAAGGGACCCTGTCAGTAAGGTGTAGATCCAGTCAACAAAGTCAGTATACTTGAAAGACCTGCGTGAGCATCACGGGGTTTGTCCCTGGCAGTTCAAGTGGGAGCACTTTGTTAGCTCGTTGTCTTTGGAGGTTTATCCATGCAGTGGGCTGGCCTTTGGCAGCCTGCTAGAGGCCCCGATTCCCTTTCCATAAGGAGTCGGGCACAGATGAGGGAGTGGGCTGCTGTGGCTGTGGTAGTCTGTGTATCAGCAGTATTTGTTCCTGGAAACAGTATTTTACTCTGTACAGCTGTGTCTTAAACATTTTCCACCTAAGCAAAATGCTTTTCATCATAAAACATGTAAGCCTAGTAAATTCAAATGACCAGAAACACCCTTCAATTAAAATTTTAGCTCAAATAGCCATGCCGTGAAAACGTATAGATAAAATCAGAGTTTCGTTATGTGGGGAACAGCGTTCAGTGGATGCTGCCAGCCCTCTTCCTGAAGTGCCGTGAACAGACCAAGGGCCAACTTCTTGGCCCTAATTTCTCCCATGAATGTCAACAGGACATGAGCTGCAAGCAAAGCATCTGTGCACTGGTGAGCAAGCAAAGCCCTCGTGTGCTGTTACCTCTGACCATTTGTCCTGCACAGCCAGAAGTTTCCAGCTAGTCAGCACATCTTGGCCAGTGCTGGAGAAGAGAGTCATTGGTTTATATCCACTGTCGATATATGAGATGATTAGTTCCAAATGTCATGAAATTGTCAATATTGAAAGAACTAGTGGAGAATTAGGAAGTATCTTCTACTCGGTGAGATGTTGTGCTCTGTTTTCTGTGTGTTACAGCTCTCTTTTTTTTTTTTTTTTTTTTCTTTTCCTCTCCGCTCAGACGGGCAGAATTGACAAGTCATATCCAACAGTTTGTGGCCACACTGGACCGGTGCTTGACATAGATTGGTGTCCTCATAATGACCAGGTCATCGCCAGCGGTTCTGAGGACTGCACTGTCATGGTGAGTTAGTACATTTGCCTTTTGGTGCAAGGTTTGTTTCACTCTAAAAAGTGGCGCTGCAAATGGCACTTGTATTTCAAAAGACAAATGAGTATCTCCTGTTAACGATGCTGAAGGCAGTGCCCTTGTTAATTTAAGAGTAGTTACGGGCATTCTGTATATCTGGCTCTGCTTAAGAAAAGATGTTAACTAGCTTTGGAGCGTTAGAAGCAAAAACTGAGTTTTATTACCTGTGTAACAGCAGAGTTTGGACTTTCTCAGTTGGTACTTTCTTTTCATATTACTATTTGGGAAGACACAACCTCAGACCTCTGAGAAGAGTTCGTCTCTTTAGTACTGAGATCCCACTTTGTGTAACTGGCTTGGCCTTTTATCTTTCTGGTTTTGTCTTAAAATACTATTGCATTTTCCTTCCACTGGGGATCTATCTGGTTTTTGGGAAAAGGGAGGAGAAGAAAAATTGCCAGTCAGTCGTGACGTATGTTATTTGTAGTGCTTTGCAGAAGACAGAAGTGGTTCCCTACCTCCTATATGCCAGCTGATGTGGTGGTGTGTGTTGGAAGGAGGTGGGGGACATACCCATCTGGTTTCAGAATTGTTTCAGCCCTTGATTTAAGGGCGATGCTCTCATTTTTTTTCCCTAATGTACATGGTATAAGTAGATGTCAAAACTTCAAAAAAAAAAAAAAATCCAAATTTTGCACCTGCCAACCTTGGTCTCGAGTCCTATTTTACCTCAGCCAGAGCCCACTGAACAATAGATGACCTTGCTCAATGATGGATGTGGAATCCTGTGTATGCAAACACAGCAGAATAAGTGAAAGAAAATCCTTGTAAGATGAAATAATGCCAAATAACTTCAGTGATCTTTGGCCATATTTAGAAATGCTGTAGGCTGAATGTTATATTGAAATCTTATTATAGATCATGTCAGATAAATTCCTTTGCTTCTGTTCATCGTTAAAATGTTTGGGAGGGGATTCATCCCAAGAGGCTTATCCTGGGACAGCTCTTGCCTATGATCTCTCGGTCTTGGAAGCCGAAGCATGTTAACAAAATGTACTATATTTAATATTAAACGAAACAACAAGCTTCTGTGTTTGTAACATTCACTAATTCACTACTGGACTAGAGTTAAGCTGTGAAGGATGCTGGAATGTTCCTCTAGAAACTAGAATGCAGAAGGCCTGTGAAATGGAGTGAATGCGCTCTGAAACATGAGCATCAGCAGAAGCAGACGATGCTAAGGTCCATAACTGCCGCCTTGGAGGCAAAATAAATCTCTAATCCAAGTGCAATGAGAAGTATGTTGTAAGGCTCCAGAGGGATTGAATTATGTAGAAAACCCAACAGTGTTCAATTACAAGTTGTCTAAATGCTGCTAATGTAGAGACAAACAATCCGCAAGAATCTCAGCCTACAACTGTGCAAACAAGCCCCGCAGGGCATGGGTTCACAGTATGTTGTCCGCTCTGCAGTTGCACACATGGAAGGTGGGGGTTGGCTGCCTCTGTCCCCTGAGACAGCGTGCGTGTGGACAGATAGCGCAGCGTGGCTGACCGCAGGTCCACACGCTGGTCTTCCCATGTGGGACCTCTGTGCGTGACAGTATCTTGAGTGGAAGGGGGCAAGTAGCTGAGAAGGTGGTGTAGGTCAGTTGTTGCTGCACTTGAAAAAACATACGTGTGCGATGTGTGTTAACAGTGGGTTTTGAAAATGCCAAATGTGTGTTAGCTGAAGGTTTAAAATGCAGTGAAGTTAAATGCAGACAATAGTGATGAAGAAAGCAAAGAGGACTGGGTAACAGGATAAGTCGAGTCTTATGTTAGGTATCACAGTTTCCGATGGGGAAATGATATATTCCAAATCATTTGGGACACTTATAAACTGGGCTGGTCAGCAAGCTAGAGAAAGTAGTGTAAAGAACAAGTCTGGCCTGGATTATTTGAGAGAGGAACTGGATGGGCTAATGAGCCTTCCCATCTTTAATTGCTTTTCTGTCTTGGCACGGGTAATTTAGCATCCTGTTTTCTTTATTAAAGATTTTTCAGAGTCCTGTTTCCTGAACAGCCTGTCACTGAATAAACTCAACTTTTATTTTAAAGGAGATATAGTTGTTCATCAGCTGTGAACTCTTCATTACTAACCAAGGTGAAATGAGAAAAACAGTGATGTGTTTGAGGAAAACCCTGTGGCTTTCTGTAGAAGTGCTGGTTGCTTTTAAAAAAACTTAAGTTTTTAAAGACTATCTCTGCATTGGCACTCAAGGGTTTAGAAACTTACTCTCCACCACAACAGGTCTCATCAACATCAATTAGATGTATAGCACTTGGTAGGAGAATGTGACTTAGAGATAAGACCCAACCAAGCAATGAGGAAGGTCATATACCCATCATGAGCAAATAGTAGAATACCCTTATGCCGAGGAGCATTGCTATTTCTGCCCTGTGTTCCTCCAGCTTTTCCGTCTTTTCCGTATGTCTTTTTTTCTCCTGTCTCTCCTCTGTTTTTCTGTCTGCATTTCCTTGCCTGCAGTTGCTAACAGTTCAAGCATTTGTGGGATTATCCCTCAGATAAAATCATCAACAAATACTGTGCCGAGTGAAATGTTGCTAAGCTTTAGTTATGTCTCTGAGATGAAGAGGGCTGATTCCCTGCAGCCATGACTTTGAACTGTCTGCAGACTGTGTGTGTTTCACAGGGAAGGTTAACTTGGCACTTTCAAAAGCTAGAAGCGTTCCATACAAATAAAAACTCAGATCTGTAGGAGCTGGAAATACCCTGTAAGCTCCATATAAGCCTTGAACAGGTACAGTATTTGAGATCATTAGTCTAGAGGTTGGAATAGGGGACTGGGAGAGAAGACATCTTTTTCTGATACTGCAGGGCTTTGCAACTTGGATGGCTTTAGAGGTTTAAGTATGTACAGAACGCACTGAAATTTTTCTGATGAGAGGCACTAGATCTATGTGACTGGATTGGTCCACATGATTTAATGAATACTTGGCTGTTGCACCTGATGTATTCAGAAATTATTTGGAGGCAGAGAAGAAAAAGATGTGTGGGGAGGTAACATTTAGGACAGCCCCCTCCTTGCAAAACCTTCTTTGTTAAAGCCACTGCGCCAGTGGTAGAAACACCCGACTGTCTTTGACTCCAACAGAGAAAAAGTAGAATGACCTCTCCAAAACACCACCATCTTTCTTCTCTGCCGAAGCGTGGGCTCTTGCAGGGTGGAGGAAGGCTCTTCCTTTGTCCGGCGTCGGGTATTCCCCGGGGGCACGCGCAGGCCTCCGTCCACCTCCCGTCCTTGCCAGTTGGAGTGCTAAGCCAACAGATTCCTTTTGAGTCAGTTGGCAAATAAAGCCAATTTAAAGTAGTTTGACGTACAATGAAGTACTTGTAATCTGCAAGTGTTAATTCGTAAGTATTTCCTTTTTATGCTTTATTCTAAGCTCTTCAGGACAGGGCCTATACTCTTGTCCAATGGAACACGATAGTACCCTAATCAAACAAATGGTGTGGCGTAGGTAATGGCAGTAGCCTTCTCTGCTCATTTGCTGATATGTTGCTGCATTTCTTTGCTCTTTTGCAAAGAGTGGAATGAGGAGTCCCCATCTCTAGCCTGCTTTTAACTGCTTTCAGAAAAACTTCCTTTAAAATGCTGTGGCATGCCAATACCTTCTGTGGCCTCTTTTTGATGTTCTCTTTGAAGAATGGTTTTCTTGTGCCAACAAATAAGGAATTACTTAAATATTCATGCTTTATACTCTTCCGAATGACTGTAATGTACTTCAGGCTTTTTAATTCAACTGGAAAACGTTTGATTATACAAAGGCTTGTAGATGGTATCAGATGGCCGTTCTCAGATATGGGAAATCTGCTTTGTCATAAGGAGAATACTAATAAGTTTGCGTGTAAAGGCCAGAGAAGAGTGAGTTTGATTCAGCAAATTGTTTTAAAAATTAAACCAGAGCCCCTTGCTGACCTGTGACACCAACCTGATACCAGACAGTTGAGCAGGCACTGTTGGAAATAATGCCAGTGACCCCGAGGTCAGTTGTATTAGTGTTCTTATAGCACTTAATGTCTGCCAACAACAGTGAATGAATTGCTGAGATACCGTAGTGAATGGCATGGTACCAAAACAGGATAAACTAGGAAAGATTAGCTGTGGAGAAATTCATCTATGGAAATGGATGCACGAAGTCCCTTTTCCTGCAGTGATAGAAGAGCGGGGATGCAGAACCTCAGGCTCCAACCCTTTCATTTCCTCACCTGCAATGAAAGTGGGAGTTGATATTATTTCTAGAAATTGACTTAACCTTCTCTGCTGATTGATGCAAGGCCAGGAGAAGAGGCAGTCTTTGATTCTCTTTAAAGGGCATAATGAAAGCAGTGCTGAAAAACATTTGCTTTATCTTCCTTCTCTTGTGCTGTTTGTGCAAAACCTTTCCCTCTCCTGCTGTTCCTCTGTGAGCCAAACTTCTACACGCCGCCATGGTGTGACTTCACTTCCGCTATTGCAAGGAGACTGGAAATGTTAACGGAAAAAAAAAAAGAGAGAGAGAGTCGATAGAAACTTAGTGGCGTCCAATTAATCTTGCAGTGTTTTAAGGTTTCCTTTGTGTGCTCATCCTGAGTGAGTGCTTTCTGTCTTCACCTTCAGCAGGCTGGGTTCTGCATCCACACTGCAAGTTCCTTACTTTGCCCCATGAATCTAATTTCATCCCACGCTGAAAAGCTACCCCACCCTATGTAGGAATGAGTGGGCCAGGCCGCTTGGGAGCATACTCTGACCTTCTACACTCCTGGGGTTTTTTTGCAATATGAAGCACAATCATTAGGTCAATAGTTTCTGTAATCTGCAGAGGATTACACTGGTCTGCAGCTGCTGTAAAGTATAGGGGCTTCCCCTCTTCCCCTTAAAGAAAAAAAAAAAAAAGGTGTCTGTACACCAGAGGCCACTTTTTTTTAAATCCTTTTTTTTGGTATTTTGTCTGTAACGCTCCCCCCCCCCTTCCTCTCCCACCCCCTGCACTACCTGGCTCGCTTCAGACCTGGTGCTGGAGTTCTCTGGCAAGCAAATGACTTTGCTGTGAAACGGAGATTCCACAGAAGAATCCCCCCACCATACCCGCATAGGAAAATGCAAAACAAAAGCAGGGCCCTCTGTGGTAGGGAACCCTTCTAACTGCTGAAACTGCAGCCTAGGAATGTGGTACGTGTGGAAACCTCTTGCGTTACTAGTTCAGATTTAGTCTGGATTGGCAGTGAGAAAAATGCTTGAAGCTGGTTTTGGCTCCAGTGCAGGATGAGTTTGGTCTTGGTCCAGTTCGGACACCTACCAAGGTGTGTATCATTTAACACCCCTCTGTGCAACTCCCATACCTCTCTGCTTCAAAGGCCCTGCATATCTCTTGCGTTGTCTCTTCTGCTAGTCCCTCTTAATTTTCATGCTCTCTTCCCAGCTTTCTAATTGCTTTAGGTCATATCTATGATCTGCAGCATTCCATTAGTGCTTAAAATCGTGGAGAATTTGGAGATGGTTCATCTGAAAGACCCTACGCAAAATTATTATATTAAAAACAGATACCAGTTTTAGCAAACTGACTTTAAAGTTCTGCACTCCTATCAGCAGAGACATTTTAAACTGTTGCTGCTGTCAGGGTTTTATTCACTGTGGGGCATGATCAAAGCTTCCTCTATGAAAACAGACAACTTTGTAACCCAGTCTTATTTTGTAATGGGCAAGTGAAACAATTTGTTGCAATTCAGTAGGTGCGTTGTTGTGTTTTAACACAATCCTCTGATAAAATACGGTGGCTGCAGTCACAAGCAAAGCTCATGTTGAATTGGAAGTGAGCAGGATGACATCCTGCTTTTCCAGAGTGGATAGCTGTGGCTTGTAACCAATTTTAAAATGAGATTGCTGGTAAAAGCCATGGTTTGGGTCATCTTGTTGCTAGCCCTGTTCCATCAGGCAGGAGGAGAAAGTGGGATTTAAGCCCTTGAAGAGTAATCCTCTGCTGAGGCATGTGTGTCCGTAATGGTGAACGTCCAAGTGTGGCTGGTTGTTCCTCCTGAGGGGCTGAGGATGCTGGGAGATCTGCACTGCAAGGGACAACACTGAGACAGCTGCATCAATGAAGTGAGAGTCAGTTTAGGGTTATTTTGAGGTGAGCTGATACGCTCTGAGAATTTTTTGCATCTCGGAGATTTTTATTTAAGCTGCAGCCATCCCTGTGAGAGGAGAGAAATTGGGATTAGTGCTGAAATCCATGTTGCCCTCGTGCATGTCTGTCTGCCTCATTTCCGAAATCCTCTTGGTTTGCATCTCCTGCTGGCTTTGACAGCTTGCTTGAGCATTGTAGGCAGGGTCTGACAATCTCTATTCTCTTCCTCCAGAAAAAGCAAACAAAAGAAGGCAAAGCAAACGTGCTGTAATGCTGCCACCTATCTATAGGTAGTTGTAGTTGCTTACTAATGGGCTTTTAATTTAATTTTTTAATACGCTGTATGTAGGTCAAATTTGATTCAAAGATGGTTGTCCAATCCTGAATTGCAGGAATAGTTCTGGTAGAGTTGATCCTGCCTTGGGGCAATGGGGGGTGGATTTTTGTCTCTTCCATCCCTGAGCTCTGCCAGTTGCAGAAGCGCCTCCTTCGATAGATAAACCTGTTCTGATTCAGCTGCTAAAATTCCAGGCACGTGATCTGCAATCCTTGGGTTGTTCCTCCTCGTGACAGTTCTTTCCTAACCGCAGGGAGACACTTGCAACAGAAGGGTTGTGTAACCAATTAGAAAAGAAGCAGACAGTTTGCTGCATCTGAAGGTAGTTTCTGCAGTGCTAACTTGGGCTGCTTTAACTTTTTACCAGGACCAAACTGCTTTTCCCCAGTTAACTGGCGTTTGAAAGGAGGTTCTAAATGTAAAATGAAAACTAACTGACAGCATATCAAAAATTAGCTCCAATATAAGTGCGTCTTATTCCCTGCAAACGACGAGCATAATTTAAAAAGACACCAGCTTGTTCAGACAGCGTTTGAACAGTGAGGCAATTTTTTTTGAATCCCTCTCGGGCAGTATCTGACTCGACTGGGTCTCTGGACATAGAGATAACGGGGAATTTGAAGTATAGCTAGCCAGTGGTTGGATACTGGCAGCACGAGCTAGGAAGGATATTACGCGCAGCCCGGCCAAAGGCTTATTGGTAACTCGGAACAATTCCCTCCCTGTTTCTGTCTTCCTGTTTATATCAAGAAGTGTCGATTTAGACTTTACTGTGGCATAGGGTGCATGAAGTGAATGAGTAACGTGCTCTTCAGAGGGGATGGCCCTTGGCTAACCGTCTTTCACTTCCCCTTTTCAGGTGTGGCAGATTCCCGAGAATGGACTCACCCTGTCCTTGACGGAGCCGGTGGTAGTTTTAGAAGGCCATTCGAAAAGAGTCGGCATTGTGGCTTGGCATCCTACTGCACGTAATGTGCTGCTCAGTGCAGGTATGATGTGTCACCATTGTGCAGTGAATAAACACCTCTCTTTTGTTTCACTTCTACACCAGGTATTTTGGAGTAGAGCTACTGACTCCTTTCCTCTCCCAGCTGCCTAGGGCTGGTGAAATCACAAGACTGTAATTACAGTGCCTAATAACACTGGGACACATGGCTCAGCCCATTCCTTATAGCCTTTTACTATCTCCAGTTTACAGGGGCAAGACCCAGGAAATTGTCCGAAGGCATGATTTACAGTATTAAAATTGTTCCAGACTTTATTTGATCTGCAAGTTTCATCAGCAGCTGACATCTATTTGCATATGCCTTCCCCTCATCCCTGTTTTCTTGTGCTTTTATAAGAGGCCCAACTGTTTCTCCCTTTTCACAGATCTCTGTTAAGGTATCCTAGTGCCTGGATATTCCTTCCACAAACTTTCATTTTCAGCATTTGCGAAATTATCTCCTTGACTGGTACAGTCTATGCAATGAGATTCTTTTGACCACTGAAACACAGTCACATTATGATGGAAATAAAATAGAAAAGTCATTATCCATTAGCACAGTCTGAGGTTTTCATTACATGACATTTAGGTTTGAGCCTGGTAAAAGCAGCAAATCATTTCAGCTGGGCTGTCAGATAAGCTATGTGTTCTCTGTGGATGCAGATGCCTTCTGAGGTACCCGTTTGGTTTTGATCTGGTTTCCCCAACAATGCTTTGATTTGCAGACCTTGTAGCAGTTAATGTGGTGGAACTCCATGTGAGAACAGACAAAAGGAGAAGGTGATTTTTCATAGTTAACTTAAGACAACAGAGTTAGTTAACAAAGTTGATTTTGCCCGCTCACGCTCCTGTACTTGCAAGCAGCAAGATGTGTGCATCCAGGCAGTTTGGCCAGGATTACTCCTAAGAGACATGGAGGAGAAAGGATACTGACATGGAGGAGAAAGGATACTGACTGTCAGATCCTCACTGTCACCTGGGCTCCTCTTGGTTTGTGACAACAAACTGGTTTTTGAATGTCATTTATACCCTCTGAGAGTTGACAGTGATTGTGATCTTTTGCCTCAGACGGTTTTATCCGTCTTGAGTCTTAGGAAAAATTGCCAAGTTGCACACTGTGCTTTCGTTTCCTCACCTGGTGATTTTATGGCTCCAGTCCTGTGGGTTTTTGTTTTGTTTTTTTTTAATCTTGCTGTCCTCTTATCCTAGGCTTTATTCCCTGTCTTCTTGCTGTCTGGTCCTTAAACAAAACCGCCTGCCTGATGACTGTGGTCCTTGTGAACTGCTGACCTCAGCTATTGATGCCTGTCATTCTTTTTACCTTTGTTCTGCTGTTTCTTCTGCCGGTGCTGTTGCTTACCTATGTTTTCATTCATGCTATTCTTACTCTCTCTGTTGCAAATCTCTATAAGCTGAGAAGGCAACGACTGGCTGCCAGCCAGTATTTTCATTTATGGAGGTGTAAGAACATTGCCTCTTTGCCCTTGGCATTTCTTATTTTTGAGTCCTGCAGTTGAGCCAAGACCCAAGAGCTCCTGCATAGAATGCACAAAGAGCAGCAGCAGAACCCCAGGCGTGCCCTTTCACAGACCTCCTTCAGTTGTATCTGTAACTCATGGGCCTTTTTCTTTTTTTTTTTTTTTTTTTTCTCCTCAAAGACCTACAACTTCCTCTCTGCCAGCAGTTGCTGAGCATTGGCTGGCCTTTGGAGCATGCAAGGTTAGGTTGCATAGGTTAGTTAAGTAGTGTGCAGAGCATTGATAGCACGGCTGAGAGCTATGCCTTGGGGCTTCAGGCTCTCTGCTTGAAACAATACCACACACCTTCCGTCAGAATCAAGAGATACTCTCTGGGCATCAGTTCCTCACTGAGCAGCCTGTTTCTGGCCTGCAGGGCTGGGGTGTTTGTACTCTGTCTTTGTTTCGGAGAGTCAGAGCACCTCTGGGAGAGTAGAAGTCCAGTTTTAGTAGTCTCTGTGTCCACCTGTCCTCCCTGGCAAGTTCTGCCGAGTTGATTTTATCCCCCTTCACCCATACAGTTGCTCTCAGTGTCTCAACACATGGAGTGGGGTCCAGGAGTGCGTGGCAAGCCGGGAGGTGGCGTGGCTCCCCTCCAGGCCCTGCTCCAGCCCTGCTGAGCTCTGGCCAGGTATCCCTGCTACCTCTCCTTGCTCCCTCTTTCCGTCTTGAGTTGGACTTCTGCTGTACTCATAATTTTGCACCCACAGAGACAAATGCTGGGAGATGGGCTATATACACGTATGGTGACTGGAGGACCCCTGTGCCCAGCTGCCCCTCAGGAGAAAGGGTTGCTGTTCGCCAGCTGGCTCTGGCCATGCTGTCAGGGAAGAATTTCTTACCTTCTCTGGCTGTTTTATCCCACTCTGAGCTGGTGTTTGACTGGGAAGGTGCTGCCTGGGACTCTGCCTATCTCACAGTGCGCATTTAAGAGATGGCATCCGAGGCATTGGAGCTGTAGCCGGTTTTATTCCTTGTTCTCTTCTGCTGGCTTTTTCCTTTTTACACTGCTCTTGTGATTTTGACCTGCTCTTCTCTTTCAGGTTGTGATAATGCAATCATCATCTGGAATGTGGGAACAGGTGAAGCCCTCATCAACTTGGATGACATGCATGTGGATATGATTTACAATGTGAGCTGGAATCGCAATGGCAGCCTAATCTGTACAGCTTCCAAAGACAAAAAAGTTCGAGTTATTGACCCCAGGAAACAAGAAATCGTTGCTGTAAGTTTGTATGATAACTGAAAATGCAATTGGATTTCACTACAGCATGCCATACTTAAGTCACGTTTTTCAAAGTAAGAAAAAAAATTACAGGAAGGATAGCACTGGTTGAAGGATTTGTCTGGGTTTGTTGAAAGTAGTGTCTGAGCTGTGATTTTTAGGGCTCAGTTTTAAAACCGGCAGCAGTGTAATTCCACATCTAATCCTTTTACATAATTACCTTTCCAAACTCATGTACGCAAAATGGAGATTTAGCAACCAGCATACGTGTTATAGCTTGCAAAGGAGTCTTCCTTTAACCTTGTAAGAATCTGATAGGCAAAGCTGAAATGAAGCAGCTGTGACCACTTCTTTTGTGTTTTAGTAATTGATTTCTTCCCTGGAGCACTGGGCAAAGATTGTTGGATGTTACTCTGTGTAGTTGGCATCCTGCTTGGAGGAGCAGTGCTTTCTGCCATGTATTCCGCGTGACTAGAGGAGAGCTAGAGAACTCTTCATCGGTTGGGCTTTCTGCTCCTTTTTAGAGATTAATCTCTAAATCTATTTCAGGAGAAAGAGAAAACCCATGAGGGAGCCCGGCCCATGCGAGCCATTTTCCTTGCTGATGGGAACATCTTCACAACTGGCTTCAGTCGCATGAGTGAGCGGCAGCTTGCCCTTTGGAATCCAGTAGGTTCCTGTCCCATTACTACTTTGCTGTTGTAATGTTGTTGTCAGGATGACTTACTAGCCCAGACCTGCATCCTCCTGCTACGTTCATAGTTCACATATCTGAGTATGTTCCCTTTTCCTTCTATTGCCTGATCCTACTCAAACTTCCTATGCCAGGAAGTATTGCCATGTTATTTAGGCTTGACGTTCTCTCAGTACAGGAAATGATTTCCATCAATCCCTGCCTTACTGCAAGCAGCAATGAAACAGTGGCAACTGCATGTTTGAGGTGTATGAGGAGATGTACACAGCGCAGCAGAGTAACTTTGTGAAGGTCACTTCTATTTGAAATGTGTCATGTGCAGAGCAGGACAGCAGCAATCTCAACCACATTGGGATAAGACACCTGTTAACGTGACTCAAGCCAAGTCTTCCCCTCAACTTTGTGAATTATCTTGGGTGCTGTTTTAATGCATTTTCTGATTAAAGTGTCGTTGAGGAATGAACGAGCTTGTAAACACTTACAGTGACCGCTATTGTAACAGGTAGAATGCCAAAGCCTTCAGGGTGATGAAGACACTGCTGAACGTTCCACTAACTACAAAGAATTGTAAATAATTGAGATCGTATGTTAAGATGAGCTTTTCAGTTCTTCTTTAACATACTTGATGTTTTTATTTTCAGAAGAACATGGAAGAGCCAATAGCCCTTCATGAGATGGACACGAGCAATGGGGTCCTGCTGCCGTTCTATGATCCAGACACCAACATTATTTACTTGTGTGGCAAGGTAAAGAGAAGCTTTTAGAATGACTGAGCTTGTGCAGAGGTAGACTACTGCTGAATGAATGATTCCTGTGAACTGCCCCTCAGGTGTCTCAACGGAGAAAGATAGAATCATAAGTTTAGTACTGCAGCGATGGTCAGAGCTGTAGATAAATCTATGAGAAAATTGAACTGTGCTGAAATCAGTTTGACCCTCACTGCAGGACTGTGCAGCGAGCCCATGAAGCCTGCATTGTGAAGGTTTGATTTGTAACTGGATGTTTCTTTCAGATGGGTTTACTTAAGTAAAGCTGCTCTTAATGCATCAAGTCAGATACCTTCATTAAAGCATCTTATATTGGTTTTGACCTGAATGATTGTGCATTAGGGTGGGAGGAAGGTATGTGTTAGACGATATCCTCCTTGCACTTGAAGATGATGGGGCATGAAGCAAAGCCAACTCTAATTTTGTGAGGTTAAATAATAGAAAACTGGAAACCTATATTTTCCTTTCTAAAAGCAATTTGCTGTAGGCATTAAGTGCTCTAAAGTACCCACTTCTGAATGCCACAGCTTTAGACTTCCTACAAACAGGAACCAAGGACAGAGAAGATGAGCAAGTAATTACAGAGGAGGATCTATACAACTGCATTCAACAATCCTATCTTTTAAACTGCTAATGAGAGACTTATTTTATATCTCTGCTACCTCTTCTGATGTTTTAGAGACGCTGGTGTGGCAGCTTTGTCTGTAATTAAAAAGAGAAACTGTTGTATAGTCTTTCTGTGCAACCCTTTAGCTCTAACCAGGGTCAGGTGGGTGTGGATACCTTCTTGTCCTTGTCAATGTTGTGGTATAAATCTCCTGCTCGTGCACACTTCTTTCAAATTAAATCATTTTCTTTGCAAGAAGACTCCCTGTCATGCAGTTAATTTACTCACAGTACAACAGTACAGATGTGTGTATATATATATATTTTTTCTTTTCAAAGCATTGTGCTGATAAATAAGCACTTCTGTCACTTCACTAGAAAGCAGGAATCTTCTCTGTACTTTGGGGAAACTGAGGCAGTGAGTGTAACTTTTCCACAAGAAAAAATGTGGAAGTTGACACCCCTGATCTTGAAGCATGTGCTCAAATCACTGTACCACAGTAGTTTGAAGAAATAGCACTTACCACTGGGAGCCTGTTCAGATAATGCACTTGGGTTACACTAGAGAATTGCTTTGTGGTAGTTCTGCTAATGCCTGATGGATATTTGAGAACAGAACTGTATACTGTGTGATAGTGACTCTTGTGAGCAAATTGAGATGAAACATGTTAGGCTGGTAAACAATGGAAGTTTTAGTTTGACAAAAATAACGATAAACTGTGCATTACTCATAAAAATACTGGTTTGGGCGTTTTGGGGAGGCTATGTTGTACTGCTAAGAAGTAATATTCCCTTGCTTCCCTTAAAATGTCTGTTCGCTGTGTCACTGCGTTAACTGCTGCAGCCCTGCATTGTGCACCGGGCACCCCAGGGCAGTCCATTTGCAGCACTGCCTCAGTTGTCCTGACTTTGTCCTGCTGACGTCTGGGGCAGCCTCATGCAGTTTGCATTGTGGCTGTCTCTACAGCCCCAGCGTGACTGGGGTCTGTTTGTGCATTGGCATGGTCACCTCAGCTCCCCAGAGAGGATGATCAGCAGTAAGCTTCAGCCTGTCTCTTCTCTGGTGGTGGCCCTTGAAGAAAAAGGGCATCAGGAGAGACTGATGCTCGCTGCCTCGCCTAGCAGGGAGCAGAATGTGCCTGCACCGAGAGTACCAGCCCTTACAGTCTCTGGAATGGTCCTTTTTTTCTTGCAGGGGGACAGCAGCATTCGCTACTTTGAGATCACAGATGAATCCCCATATGTTCACTACCTCAACACCTTCAGCAGCAAAGAGCCGCAGAGGGGGATGGGGTTCATGCCAAAGAGGGGCCTGGATGTGAACAAGTGTGAGATTGCCAGGTAAGGGGAGAGGCTGTAAATGGCCAGGTGGGTGGTTGGTGCCACCTTAGCAACCCACCAGTCGCAAGCTCAGCCATTCAGAAATTGAAAGTGCTGCTTTTGCCACTGCACTTAGACCGTGCAAGCCAAGTTCATACAGCGGACCATCAGCCAGCTTTCTGCAGGGAAGTGAGGCATGTGGCACAAGGCAAGGGGGCTGGGAATCCTCTGTAAAACTGGTGTGTGTGCTCTCCACTGGTAAACCAAGTGCTGCTGAGTTTAGAGATCCCGCTGTTGGAAAGACTTCTGTGCCACACCATTACTTCTACAGTATTTGTTGGGCCCTGTGACATGAAGTGATACTTCTGCTGGGCATAACATGATAAAACCTGAGGATGTGCTGGGATTTAGGCCGAATCTGTAATAAATGAATGAGTGATATCTAGCAGAGCAAGCTACCTGCTGAAAACTTAGCATCAGGTCAGTTCAGTTACAGCCAAAGTAATCAGCATAATCGGTGATAAACTTGTGGTGCCAAAGTCTGATATAAATCTCAGCTTGTATGTAGCAGGGAGATTGGAAACTTTCAGGAATTTAGAGAATACTTAACGGCAGCAGTGCAGTGAAGATGTAGAATTGGTACTGAAAAGAGGGCAAAATAAGAAGGCACCTCGAGAAAGCAGGTGTGTGTTACTGCCACAGCCTATGACCCGCCCGCCGTTGATAGGGAATGTGCTGGACGTTGTCCGTGAAGCCTTTTGATGCTCCTTTCATTAGTGATGAAAGGAGGAGCTGCTGAGAGGGAGCAGAGTCTGCAGTTGCCTGGAGCACATGAGTTTTTCAGCAGCGCTGCCTGGTGGCCAAGCAGAGGGCTTTGGAGTTTGTGGCACTTGTTCAAAGAAAGACTGCAAGGGGGTGACCAGAGCGTGGAGACCCCCTGGGTGTAGTGAGCAGGACGCTGGCTCGTGTGTTACCTGTCAATTACTTCTGTGGTGCTTGTCTCCACAGTCCGAGCAGTGGGCTGTGCCTCACTGACAGCCCCTTCTGGCCAAAGTGCGACTCTCTCTGAAGTCACCCCGTACCTAAGAGGGGAGCTCTGCACATACACAGGTAGTTTTCTCCAGCCCTTACGAGGGCCCTGCAAGTCCTAGCGCAGCCTAGCTGTGACTCCTTAGGATTGCTCGTTTTTCACCTGTTGCCTCTGTCTCTCAGTACGCTGCTGTGCATGAGCAGCAGAACCGAGGCCTCCTTTGCTTAGCGTATTGGCTCTCCTCCCTTCTAAGTCACTACTCTTTTCTTTGAAAGGTTCTTCAAGCTTCACGAGAGGAAATGTGAGCCCATCATCATGACGGTCCCTCGAAAGGTGAGCGCTACCTGCTGTTTGTGTGGTTTGAAGCCAGCTGTATGCCTTCCAGCTCCAACGCGCTTGACCAATTCATTTCTTCTGGCTTGTAGTCGGACCTTTTCCAGGATGACCTGTACCCTGATACAGCTGGCCCTGAAGCAGCTCTGGAAGCAGAAGAGTGGTTTGAGGGGAAGAATGCTGATCCCCTGCTCATTTCCTTGAAACACGGGTACATTCCAGGCAAGAATAGGGACCTCAAAGTGGTCAAGAAGAATATACTGGACAACAAGCCTGCAGCAAACAAGAAAAGTGATCTCATAAATGCTCCAAAGAAAGCAGCTGATGCCTCAAACATTGTGAGTAAAATTCACGAGCTTCTGGGAATGGCTGCCTGAGACTTGATTACCAGGCTCTATCTTCAGAAGCAGTTTTAACAAAGCTCAAAAGGATGCATCTCAAGTATCTTGGAGCTGAGTGTAGGTGGGTAACTTGGAGCTGAGGTGATACGTGAATTGTGGCATTCCGGATGAGTGGTATACACGAGGTTTCTTGTAGCTGTTGAAGATTGCAGTGAATTTTGCCATAAAGGAAAACTTGGCTTGTCATTCTGGCCAGACACCTGCTTGAGAGGACTTGTGTTCGTTCAGCCCGGATCTGCCTGCGGAGAAGGTTTTTCATAACGTTGAGTCGTTTGTACTCAAACAACTTGTATAAACATCCAGCTCGTTGCTCATCCCTACAGGTGGTGGATGCCATGTTTTATAGGGAGTTAGAGGAACATGAGGTCTTGAGCTGTGCACCTATATTTTGCCTAAAACCTAGCACAGACAGTGGAACAAATTAACCTCAGACTCTGCAGGTCCAGAAAAAGGCTATATAAAAGTCCGTAATCTGGGGGCTGTGGCAAACAGGTGCTCTAACAAAGTGATATAATAATATGTGGAGATGTTGAAGTGACATCTGTCAGTCAAGTGTGTCTTTAAATGCTGTTAAAGAGCAGGTCTTGGCCCTGTACATCCTTGAAGTTTGCACTGATGCCTCTGGAAATGCTGCTCTATGCCATGAGCCCCCCAGTTAACGCAGTGCCTGTGCCAGACGTTCTTTCAGCCAGCTCATCCGCATTTGCCCGCATACCGTGGCACATTTATGATTTGTGAGAATCCCATTCGGAGAATTCCTTTGCTTTGAAAACTTGCATCTGAAGAAGTGATCCTTCCAGCTCTCTTAACAAATATATATTTTGTTGTCTTTTCCAGCAAAATGAAGCCAAATTGGATGAGATTTTGAAAGAGCTGAAATCTATAAAAGACACGATCACCAATCAAGACGAGCGCATTTCCAAGCTAGAACAGCAGATGGCGAAGATTGCAGACTGAGCGGAGGGCGAGAGCAGCGGCTGGCACACGCTGCCAGCCCTGAACACATTCCAGTTCCCAAGTTCGGCAAGCAGCAGCGTGCAGCATTCCAATACGAGCTTTCCTGTTCTCCTAAATTAACGTCAACGAAAGCGGATGATTAAAAGCCAAGCTTTTTAGTGAAAAGATTTTTTTTTCCTGATGTTTTAATGAATTATGTGACTGTGTCAAACAAGTCAAAAAGAATAAGTGCTACTTTTACAGTCTTTTTTCCAGATGTTATGAATTCTTGAAAACAAACCCCTTCTGACTTTCAATGTTGTGCCCAAATATCTTTTTTCTAGATTTAGGGACCAATGCCACATTGTTCTTAACCATTTTTTAAAGTTGCCAAAAACAAAAAAAAAACAAAGGTTGCTTTTTATTTTTCTTATTTGCCACTTTGCAGTATTTGTGTTTTAAATTTAAAGGGACGGCACTGTGTGTGTGTGCGTGTGTGTGCGCGCATGTGTGTGTGGTGGGTGTTTATACTGTTTAGAGAACAAAACTGAAGCTATTTTATATAAATCTTCGATTTTGAACAATCAGATCAGTTTCGTTTGCAGTGTGGCCAAGGCTGCTGCTGAGACCCCTCATAAATCCATGCTAGTTGACTTTCCTGCCTTGTGTTCTGGTCACTGTTTCCTGTTAGGTAGAAAACACGATTCCGAATGAGGTGATTCATGCCACAAAATGCCTTTTGCCCCTCTGCACCCTACAGAAATTTTAAACTAGCTTCATGTTGCTCTTTCAAAGTAATCCAGTGTTTTGGATTATTTTAGCCATGTCCAAATGGGCATGTTTTAGTTGCTGAGTTTGTTTTTATTTTAAGGCAAAAGTTACCTTAATGCAGAAAATGTTTTTACATTTATCCGTGGACTATAAAGTTTAGGGCGTGCAATGAAAGATAAATGCCAGTTTGCGAGCGGTGGGACATTCGCATGTAACCAGGTTCTCCCTTGTGTCCGTTTCAGCTGTATGCATTGCTGTAAATATTTGTTTCTGCACTAGAGCTGCAACACCAGGATCTTTGGCTCGTTTACTTTAAGAAGCTTTTAAAATTTGTGAGCTTGCAATTCTTTGGCCCCCAACTTTAGTGCTGCTGTTAGAAATTTCTGCCCTGACTTTGCTTCCAAAGCACCATTAGAAATAGCTAGGTGATTTTATAGTGACAGGTCTCCAGAAACGAAATTCCTCTGTTTTTTGGGTTTTTTTTCTCCCTCTATCATTCCTGCCTCGTTACCCCGCCCCTGCAGTAAAACTTTGCAGGAAATATTTTGTTCTCGGATCAGATAAGTGACCTTCATCTGAGGTGCACTGCAATCCCAGCCCTTTGGAGTGGAAGGGCTAGGGGAGGGTTATTCTTTTTTGGTCCCAGTTTGGAGAACTGATTTCTCATGCTGTCCTTTGAGATCCTCAGGTGAAAGACCCAGTGAGCTCACAGCACTCAATAGCGCATCTTGAAATTTCTTCTATGCCTCCACTCAGCAAACCTCTGCTCACTTGGCGTCTTCATTGTGAAAGGGGATGCCTGTGTTAGGAACGGGGCAAGCACAGCCTCCCAGCTGGGCCCTAGCCATGTCTGTAGGCCGCTTCCAGTGGTGGGAGCGGGATCCGTACCAGGCAAGCTGTGCCAGGTGTTTGGTTTTGCCTGTTTGCTGTATTGGTGCTGCTCATATCAGGACAGTCTATCCCAGCACTGTCTGGGAAATGTTTGCTACCCTTGTGAAATCCAAGTGTGGGCAAAGACTATCAGGGTGTCAGGATGAAGTCCGTTAGACCATCAGCTGATGGGCCTAAACTCCTCCCCCAGCTGGGGTTCAGTCCTTGAATCGGCTCACTGCCACGTTAGTGTGCATGCACATCTGCGTGCTTGGGAGCCGACACGCCAGAGCACCGTTCCCACTGCCCAGCGGGAGCCCCTCCAGGAGGCTGCCTTTGAATGGGGGGGAACGGGCGTCCCGTCATCCAGGCTCAAGTGGTCTTTTTCCATTAGGTTAGCTAGAAATCCTCAAATTCTCCATTTTTCTAGTGTTTGCATGTTCAAAACTTACAGATTAAGGCTTCTCTGTTCCGGAAGGATGTCTGTGTTTGTGATAGAACGTGAAATCATACCGTTGGGACAGTTAAGTGAAGTTGTAGCTGGAGAGGCACAAGAACAGGATGTGAAAAGACAGAGAATGTGTTATAATTTCATAGCATGGAAGTTTCATAAAAGTGGTTTTTTTGTTTTAAGTGGTGAGCGCAACAGAAGGGACAAGTGTTCCTTGCCATGTGCATAGCTGGGGGGCGGGGGGTGGTGGAAATTACCACTAATGTTGGATTTGCAGTCCAGACACTCTGGGTTATTTGAATGTTTGGTGATGTTTTTGTATTGCAGTAAATGGCTGAGATGATGTGTATTTTTTTTTTTAAAACAAAACCAAACATAACGCTCCCCAAAATGATGATCTCTGTGTTGATTTGTATGTGTGGCTTCAGGGCTGTGTGCTTGGGGACCTCTTGTTTTTTTCTAATTGGAGGGAAATCCGTTTCTGAAATGCTGGATTGAAATGCCCAGATAGGGTTGGTGTGTGGTAGATGGTCTGAGGAGGGTGGAGAAAAGTCCACCTTGATTTTTAGTTTACAGCTTGTATTTTATTTAAATGAACTGATGATGCCTAGCCAGGCTCAAACAGAGTCAGTGCCTGAAGCTTTTTGTAGCCGTGATATCCCAGAAGAGAACCAGCGAAGTCCTGAGAGATGCGCTCTTATAGAGCGGCCATAGTATCTGTCCAAATATTTGCTTCCATTTTCAAAAGATAAAAGTCATTGATTACAAACTTCCTCTGTTTGTTTTTTCTTTGACTCCGTGTTCTGCGCGGACCGCTTCCTGGCGAGCGGGTCGCGGCGAGGGCCAGCTGGGACGGAGATTTCCGTGTAAGCAGCCGCTCAGGAAAGCATAGGATGCCCTCAGTGGGCAAATGTTGTATTTTTGGTGCGCCTGAGTCCCCTCCTGGGACGTGTCCCTGCGGGTGGAGCAGGCCTGGAGCAGGGTTCGGGGGTGCTGGGCACGGTGGGAGCCCTGTGCGAAGCAGCCGGGCTCTGCAGTGTCCGCACCGTCTTGGCGTGGTGGGAAGGAGCTTCAGCGGCCGGGTGGTCCTGCAGACCCAGCACGGGTCTGGGCCGAGACCTCTCCGCTGCAGCTGCTCTTGCTGGCGCCGCTGGTAGAAGCCGGCGTCTCCAGGACTGCTGCCTTTC